TCAGGGGTGACTCGGAGTCACGTCACAGCGAGGACAGTCAGCCTGAAGACCTGCAGGAAGGAGTCAGGTCACAGCGAGGACAGTCAGCCTGAAGACCTGCAGGAAGGAAAGCCTGTGCAGTCAGGTTGTTCTTGCTCCTCCACCTGCCCCAGCTCAGGCACGTCCCTTACCTGTCTGCAGTTCAGGCTTTTTCACTTATGAAGTAATGATAATATTAGCCATCATTATTTGAGTGCTTATGATGCTCCAAACACAACATTTGAGGTAAGCACTATTTTCTCCTTTCCACGAACGGAGGAAAATGGAATTCAAAGAGTTTAAGTAACTTACCCAGGGCAAGACTCAGTACTTACACTCTTTACATTCAGGTGTCTCTAAAATGTATGCTCTAAGGAGCTAGAACCATCCCCCCCACCCCCCAAGCCTGGTATGTAGCAGGAACTCAATAAATCACAGCTACCATTAACATTTCAAAATGGCATTGACCATGATTACCATCAGTATTGAAGAATATGGGATCAAATAAAAAGAAAAGATAGATGTAGGACCAATTGTCCTTTTCATACTGGCACATAAAAATGCCATCTTAAGGTTATTGAGGAAAATATTTGCCTCTTAGAATTATGGTTTGACTAGAGTTTAAATCCATAAGGAAAAGAATTCCATTTATGCGTGCTGCATATATAATATAATAAAGGCGAAAGAAGATGGCACTAGAAATTAATAAGAGAAAAAGGTACCCTTGTGCACTGTTGGTGGGACTGTAAACTGGTACAGCCAGTGTGGAAAACAGTATGAAGTTTCCTCAAAAAATTAAAAATAGAGCTGTCCTATATCTCAGCAATTCTACTTCTGGGTATTTAATTGAAAAAAGACAAAAACACTAATTTGAAAAAATATATGCACTTCTATGTCCATTGCAGCATTACTTACAATTGTGAAGATATGGAAATAGGCTAGGTATCTATTGATGGGTGAATGGATAAAGAAAATGTGGTATATATACAATGAAATATTACTCAGCCATAAAAAATCTTGCATTGGCCACCCCATGGGGGGAATGAAAGGGTACTACGCTAAGTCAGACAAAGATGAATACTGTATGATTTCATTTACATGTGAAATATTTAAAAAGATAGATAAACAAAGTATAAGCAGACCCATAGATACAGAGAACAAGCTGGTGGTTGCCAAAGGTGAGTAGGTGGGGAAGGGGGGGGATCTAGAAAAGAAAGAAAGAAATAAGCACTTTATAACTTTTCCAAAAAATTTTATTACCTCAAGCAGCAAACACCATGGAGAAGACTGGTGGCAGCAGATAAAAAGGCCTGAGACACAAAGGCGCTGCTGAAGACCTCAGGAGGATGCCGTCATTGAGGATGGGGTGACGGAAAACAGGGTCCAACCCCCAGTAGTGCTTGCCTTTCCTCCAGGCTTCGGCATTTCGGAGATCAAGAACAAACAGTGGCGACACTTAATGTTCACGCAGTGGAAACAGCAGCAGCAGAAGGAGAAGTTGGCAGCTAAGAAAAAAACTCGAGAGAGAGAGAGAGTCTCTTGGTGATAAGGCTCCACCAAAGCCTATACCCTAGACCACTGACCACCAGCGAGTGTATGATGAAATCACAGTAGACCCTAGTGATGAAGAGGTTGCTGATGATGAAGCTACAGATGAATTTGCTTCTTATTTCAACACACTTCTCCCAAGATTCTCGTTACAACATCTGATAGACCTCATGGGACAACAGTAAGACTCGGTGAACAACTCTCCACAGTTATACTAGACTGATGTTTATTACAGAAGAGGACAAACTCTGAAAAAAGTTACCCCACAGTGCATTTCAAGAGATTTCACAGATCTGATTGTTATTAATGAAGATCATAAAACACCAAGTGGATTAATTCTGAGTCACTTGCCAAATGTCCCAACTGCTCATTTTAAACTAAGTGGTGTTCATCTGGGTGAAGAAATTAAGAGAAGAGACAAAGACTCTGCAGAGCACACACCTGAAATAATTCTGAATAGTTTTACAACATGGCGGGGTCATTCTGTTGGATGGATACTTGCATCTCTCTTTCCCTATAATCCTCAGTGTATCGGAAGGCAGGTTGGCACATTCCACAATCAACAGACTTTCAGATTTCACGGATACATATTCAACAGTGAAAAGAAAGTGGGAATTCAGGAACTTGGACCACGTTTCACCCTAAAATTAAGATCGCTTCTGAAAGGAGGCTTTGATTCTAAATATGGAGAATATGAATGGGGCCATGAGCCCTGGGAAATGGATACAAGTAGAAGAAAATTCCATTTATAAAGTACTGAAGGAATAGTACTGGATTTTGCTAAACAGGCCTATCTTGAATTTGTGACAAAGACTCTTCAAAATGGCATTTACTGATTTAATACACTTTCTTTCATGTTGGGACAAATTACCAAGTGCCATGAGTGACCACTCACTGTTTCTGTAGAAATACAAATAAAAATCATTTTGGTAAGAGTTTAAGTAGCAATTTTTGTTGTTGTTGTTGTGAGATGCACTGCGGAATAATTTTTTTCAGAGCCAGTTCTGTTCTGTAATAAACATGTGAGTTTGGTATGATTGGGGAGAGTTGTTCCAAGTCTTACTATTCTCCCATCATGTGTCAACTCCCTTGTTTTTTTATCTTAATTTAACATGAGAAAACAGTCTCTGAGTATAATAATGCTGTTTACCTTACACAGATGTTCCTGCCTTTAATGTTTCTTGTCCACACTCCACCACTAAGTAGCTGTATAACGTCCAGCAAGACACTTCTTTTCTCTTCTCTTGGTCTAGAGTTCATTACCTGTATAAGATAGGTGTGCTGTTGATCATTTGATTCCTAAGACATTTCTTCTCTAATGTCTTGGCATCTTCCAGTCATTAACCATGACTGCAGGGATGGCCTGTCCATGGGTTAGTTGCTTAAAATTGTGCTATTTTTACCCAGTAGTCTTCATCTATGACTATGGCTATGCATTTGATTACTCTGATAAGATTTTCTATTAAACGACATTTTCTCAAATTTTAGTCCTCTACTTTCATTCAGGAGAGTTCTCTAGAAATTTCATTTCTGGGCTAAGTGAGGTAGAGCCCTTAAGATATCTTCACTGTCGCCCTGGCCGGTTTGGCTCAGCGGTTAGAGCGTTGGCCTGCGGTCCAGAGAGACCCGGGTTCAGTTCCCGCTAAGGGCGCGTACCTCGGTTGCAGTTTGTCCCCGGCCCTGGTTGGTCGTGCGGGTGGCAGCCACTCGATGTGTCCCTTTCACGTCCATGTTTCTCTCTCTCTTTCTCTGTTCCTCTCTCTCCCTCCCACTCTACCTGAACAAAAAATGGAAAAATGTCCTAGGGTGAGGATAAAAAAAAAAAAAAAAAAAGATATCTTCACTGTCTTCACAAAAACAGATATTTGTAGGGCACTTCTTCCATCGTAACGTTAACGCTGCTCTCTTTGAAGTTATTTATCTTGCATATAGAAGGACATCACAGTTGTCCGGCTGGTGTGGCTCAGTGGTTGAGCGTCGACCCATGCATCAAGAAGTCACCAGTTTGATTCCTGGTCAGCACACATGCCCAGGTTTTGGACCCGATCCCCACTGGGGGGCATGCAGGAGGCGGCCAATCGATGATCTCTCTCTCATCATTTCTATCTCTCTCTCACTCTCCCTTCCTCTCTCTCTAAAATCAATAAAGAAAAAAAGAAATACATCAAAGTAAAAAAAAAAAAAAAGAAAGAAATACAACGAAGTTGCTGTCTGTTGTCATCTGTATAACCCCCAATGATGATTAGACTTGTCAGAGCAGTAGAAAGATTTGCTTTGCAGGAAGCTGCTTCTCCCCTGCAGAGCTGGGCCTCTGGGCATTGCCCATTCCAAAAGCAGGGTGTTGTTTCTTTATTTAAAGGTGTTTATGTCTAGGCTCATGGGAGAGGCCAACTAGTAACAGAGAATATAAACCTCAGGCCTGTGTATGGTGAAATCTGTCTGAAGTGAGATTGTATTGGGCCAGCACAATGCTTTGTTTTGTCTTAATGAATGTTAAAGTTTTTCCAGTCTAAGCATTTCTCAGCTTCATTCATTCCTTTATTTGCCTGCTCTTCGGAAACAGGGGCTTCCATGTTTAGGCTTTCATGGTGTGCTAAACATTTTACAAACATCTTATTTGTCCTCAAAACAGAATAGTGAGTAGGTATAAGTATAAACGAGTCAACTGGGACGCAGAAGGAAGATCTTGCCCAAGGTGAGATAGCTCATCAGTAAACCTCGGGTTGGATGAGCATTAATCTGGAGACTAATAGGTCTTGGTTTGCTTGGTTTGTGTCATTTGGCTCCAATGTCTTTTCAGTAAGTGTCTCAAGGGCCACTCGATTCTCTGACTGGGACTTTTTCTTTCATACGACCGAATAATCAAGACCCTGGACTTGTTTAATCACAGACATCAAACCATGAAGTGACTAAGGTGTCATGATCCTGCCTTCTCTGCAGGGATCCCCTTGCAGCCACTGTATTCAAATCACTGGCAAATTCAGTGCTCCCACAATGTCCCTTTAGTTATTATGAAAGGAACTTGTTCAGCGAAGAGAAGACCTGGGGAGAAGGAACCTCTCATGCCATCCATCTTCAAGCAGTTGAAAATCTGAGATACATATATGTCTATGGTTCCGAAGGTCAGAGCCAGATAGGCTAGACCTGACAGAAGAACTCCGACCTAGCACAGCTGTCATCAGTCCTGCTGTCATCAGTCCTGCTGTCATCAGTCCTGCTGTCAAGCCCGGATCCCTCCGCAGACCCCCCCCCTCCCCCCGGGATTCCACCTGCACGCAGAGCCGGGCCCTCTGCGTCTGCGCCAGCGCTCGCGGGGGCAGAGCCGCGCAGGCGTTTGCAGGACGCGCCGCGGTCTCCTGGCAACGGCGGACGCGGAGCCGGGTCTCCCAGAAGGCCGGGTGCCCCAGCGGAGCCCGCCTGGGTCGGCCTTAGCCATGACCACCAAACAAGCCAAGAGGAAAGAGGTGCATCGTATCAACTCAGCGCATGGCTCCGAGAAATCTAAGGAGTAAGAGACCTCTGCCGGCTTATCTCAGCCCTAGCTGACCCCTGGGCCTTTCCGCTCTGCCTCCGCGGGGCTTTAGCTTTGACTTCTGTGGGAACTCAGCCCGGAGATTACTGCTCCCGTTCCTCCCCCATAACCCCCTTCGACCCACCTGCTCCCCAGAGCCCCTAGTTTCTCTGCTTCAGCTTCTGGGCTGCACTTCTGGGTGCTCCTCTCCTTCATAGGTCACTCACACGCTCAGACAGGTTGCAGCTGAGAGAGAGAGAGACAGAGAGACAGAGACAGAGACAGAGACAGACAGAGAGAGACAGACAGAGACAGAGACAGAGAGAGAGAGACAGAGACAGAGAGAGAGACAGAGACAGACAGAGAGACAGAGAGAGAGACAGAGAGACAGAGACAGACAGAGAGACAGAGACAGAGAGAGACAGAGAGAGAGACAGAGACAGAGAGAGAGACAGAGACAGACAGAGAGACAGAGAGAGAGACAGAGAGACAGAGACAGACAGAGAGACAGAGACAGAGAGAGACAGAGAGAGAGACAGAGACAGAGACAGAGACAGACAGAGAGAGACAGAGACAGAGAGAGAGAGACAGAGACAGAGAGAGAGACAGAGACAGACAGACAGAGACAGAGAGAGACAGAGACAGAGAGACAGAGACAGAGAGAGAGACAGAGACAGAGAGAGAGAGACAGAGAGAGAGAGAGACTGACTTCCCTAGTTTGAGTCTGCCCCATTCCAACATCTAAAGACCTTTATTCAGATGGCATCAGACATAAAATCGGATCAAAAAGTTACAACTATATAAATATGGAGTTCATGTCACTAATGTTTACTCCCGGAAATTATACAGAGCCTAGCTCATGGAATCTGTATGCCTTCTATCCTGTGGTGTCTGTGTATGTACCTCCTCATTATTATTTTTTTCCCTTTCGTCTTATTTTTTCTCTAGAAATACCCAGTCACTAATAGCACACTCGTTGGGCTATTATTTGAAGTTACAAAATTGCTGAAATTGATTCCATGCGAGAGACTGCCAGATGCCAATCCTACCTCGGTGGGATCACTCATGTTCTGGCTGTCCCTGTGGGGTGGGGGAAAGCAGGCAGTAAATTCTTTTTAACTGGATTCTCACATATTGGCTGCCTACTTCTTCTCCTCCTTTGTCTACAAAAATCCCACCTTGGACTTCTGGTCCCTCGTGTTTTTCTCTCCACGAACTTCTCTTCCACACTCATTTCCATGCCTGGGATTCCTGATGCCGTAGTTCCTCATTCTGTCCTCTCTCGTAAGAAGGCTTCCAGATACCTGGCAGAGGATACATTCATTGTATTAACTCACTTTCTAGATACTATATTACATACATAAGTATAATTTTAACAGGGTTGCTTCCCTGCTGCATACCAATGTAAGTGAGGTCATTTCAACATTTTTTAACAGTTTCCATTCTTATAGGTTCAAGACCTACAAGGTCCTACAAGATCAGGTCCCTTTTACTTTTCTGACTTTGCCTCCCCCTTGTTCACATCCTCTTCCCTGGTACACCTGGGGCTTGTGCCTGCCTCAGGGCCTTTACTGTTTCCTCTGCTGGAAAGGTCTTCCCCCAGTTTTTCATGCTGTTTTCTCCTTCACTTCCTTTAGGTGTTTACCTAAATGACATCGTCTCATGCCAGCTTCTCTGGCCAACTGGTTTAAAATCACAACCCTCACTTTTCTGCCCAAACCAAAAAACTCCCTGTTTTCCTTTGCTACTTTATTTCTCTCTTATTTTCATCTTTATTTATTTTTTATTTTTTGATTATTTAACTGCTATTTATCTTACTCTCTAAAAATGTTGTGTATTTATATGTCTTCCTAATAGTATGCAAGTTCCATAAAAGCAGGGATTTTTTTATTTCTATTTTATAAACTATTGAATCCTTAGTACCTCAACAGATTTTTGGGTCATACATAGTAGACACTTAAAATTTTTATTTAACGAATGGGTGACAGTGATTAAATAAGAGATTATAAAATGATTGTAAGAGAATTTTTTAATACACTAACAACCTTAATCAATGATGGTTATAATTAATGCACATTGAAGGGTCACAACTCTTAAGGAACTTGGAAAAAATCTTTAACTGTAGAGTTTATATCCTGAAAGAGATGAGAGTAACTCCTATACGAAACTGATCAACCCAGATGTCATTAAACACCGTATGTGGCCTGGTCCTGTGACGTTGCTAATGTCCCTGATGGTAAGATGCCAACTCTTTCCTCGCCTGTACTTTCTATTTCTTTTCGAGGTGGTAATGTTATTTCTAACATGTGTTTTTTCCAGAAAATATTTCAGTTGAATTAAATCAATAAATATATATGTGTATATTTATGAAAATGGAAGAATAAAAGCAAATTGTTATACAAAACCTAAGCTTTGCTAGAAACTATCTACTGAGCATTAAACATCATATCATTTTGCTGTAGCATTATACGATAGGTTGTCAAGTTCTTCATAAATCAAGTTTATCCTCTAAGTTTTACTGAAGGACCATCATAGATACCAGGCTAAGTCCTAGATAAAAGATAAATAAAGTGTAACCCAGCATGGGGCCTAGGGATCGAAGTCTAGCAACACTCCACTATAATTGTCATTTGAGTATACTGTAAACATATAATAAGATGGATATGCCATTTTACAACACCTTGTGGTTATACATCCAATAAATGCAACATATATAACATGGTCCTGGAGAGAGAAATGAAGGAAAACTTTGTCAGAGTCTTGAAAATGGCCATCCCATAGAATCTCATCTAGAGCTGCCATCCGTAACACATCTTTTATTCCCTAAAACTCTGGTCAAACTGGGGACAAGGGCCATGTCTGGCTTTTGCCTTTCATGGTGGCTAGCAGTTACCATTTGTTTATTAAATGTGAGTTCATAGTTTAGTTACCCAGCTTGGTTTTCAGTCCTTCTGAATTTGATTGAGCCCCAGTTCTCCCTCCCTTTGTGATCTGATTTTCTGTTCACAGAGCTAAAAAAAAAACTAAGATGTTACAATTGAGAAATCAGAATCATCTATTTCTAGTTGTGACCAAATTCTCCCCCAGACTCTCATCTCCTTCTCCTCTACTCAAGAAGTCTGCTGGGATACGTCTGGGCTACCTCTTCAGCACGGGCTTGACAATCTCTTAGGGCCGTAACAAACCTCATTTGTTTCCTGTCTTTCGGATATAATTTTCCTTCATCACTTAATGACTGAATTGAACACCAGCTTTATGTGGATTGCCCAGGCTTTTAATTGTGTCAAGTGAGAAGGCAAGTCCAATCCTCATTACTCCAACTGAGATGGATGTAATATCTCTCAGGTTTATTGCTGAAATTTTACATTTTACTTCTAAATATTAAGATGAGATTTTAATCAGTGTACACAAATATAATCCACAAATAAAATATTGCAGGTAGGGGTAGAATTCTTTGCCTAAAAATGAGATCCCACATGAGATATAATTGCCAGTACATACTATCTTTTCTAAAAACTGGTTTTTCGCCCTGGCCGGTTTGGCTCAGGGGTTAGAGTGTCAGCCTGCAGTCCAGAGACACCCAGGATCAGTTCCTGCTAAGGGCACATACCTTGATTGCAGTTTCTCCCTGGCCCTGGGTGGGTCGTGCAGGTAGCAGCCACTTGATGTGTCCCTTTCACGTCGATGTTTCTCTCTCTCTCCCTCCCACTCTATCTGAACAAAAAAATGGAAAAATGTCCTCAGGTGAGGATAAAAACAAAAAAACTAGTTTTTGACGTAGTAGTGACATCTTGATACAAGAATTTTAATTAAAAGAATGCAACTATGAGATATGATAAACCTTATATCAAATTTTCCTAATTATTATCATTGTGCTCATTTTTGAGTTGTATTGAAACTTCAGTGTTTCTCAAACTCTCAATTTTAAACCAATTGTCTATTATGGGTAAATATTAAAGTGTATATATATATATATGAATAAAATGTTTATCTCTGTATAATGGGCAAAGTCAACATTAACTAGAAAATAAGGTTCACAGTCCTCAGCAGGTCCCCCAGTGGGACCTTGGGTTTCTCTCCAGCCTAATTTCCCTGCTTCATAACACCTGCTCATTCAGATCTGCTAATTCTCTGCACCTACTCGGCTTCTTGCTTCTACACTGTCTCTCATGCTGCTCTCTTTTTCTAGTGATGCCCGTTCTCCTTTTTAAACCTAGAAAATGTCTAGTTATCCTCCAAAACCACTTAATGCTATTTATTGCAGAAAGTTTCTCTTATTGCTTCTCTTTGAGCATAATACCCCCTTCTTTCCCACTGACGAATACTTGATCTCTGTGCATATCACATTATGTTGAAATCATGTTTACCTGTTTGCATTCTAAAATAAATTTGAGAGCAGAGATATAAATTATGTCTGTAACTCCATCATCTACCACAGTGCTTGTCACAGAGCAGGTGTCCCATACATGTTGGTAGAAAAGAAGTGAACTATTGGTTGAATGAGGTTCCTTTCTCATTCTGAAACAGTCTTTTCCTAAAATGTTTATGTCTTCATCCATATTGGTTGATTTGACTCTAATTAAAAGAATTCTGCATTCCCAATTTTTCTTTTATCTAAGGCCTAGTTACAGTGAGCTGTTCCCTAATGCCACATCCACTTTGTTCTCTCTCAGTTTGGAAGTTTTATATTTTATTTCTTGGAATAGCTTTGCAATGATATGAGTATCTGTATATCCCAAAATTCATATGTTGAAACCCTAGACCCAAATGGGCCTTTGGGGGTGGGGTCGGTAATAAGGTCATGGGTGTGAAGCTCTCATGAATGGGATTGGTGCCCTTATCAGAAGAAACCAAAGAAATAGCTGGCACTCTTTTCAGCATGTGAGGACACTGCGAAGCCACCACCTGCAGTCTGTGAATGGGTTCTCATTAGAACCTGATCATGCTCGCATGATGTTGGCCTCCAGCATCCAGAACTATGAGATATAAATTTCTGT